GTTGTTTGTTTGTGTGTGTGTGTGTGTGTGTGTGTGTGTGTGTGTGTGTGTGTGTGTGTGTGTTTTCATTAGTTCTTGCTTCCTCCAAACCAGGCACTACCCCCCCCCGCCTCCAAAAATCGTCCGTCTCTCAGGAAAGCGGTAGTTAAAATAGAGCACCAGTTTTTATCTTAGCAGTCAACCAAATTTCCTATGGATGTTTCCCTCAAATTACCTTACACATACCTAAAAAAGACCAAATGGTTGGGATGTCGCATTCGGCATTTTAGTCGGGCCGTGTGGTGAGCCATCAGCCGTAAGCTCAGCCAGTTCCCATGAAAAAAATGGTATGCTATACATTGTAATATTTGTTACCAGCACCAAATTAAAAACTTCTAATTTTTTTTGTAGCATATACGAATACGGCCAGCCTGGACTGCGACTTTCAGACGGACACCTGCGACTGGACACAGGTCAAGGACGACCAGGCAGACTGGCGTAGACGCCGAGGTGAGACCAACTCGAACGGCACCGGGCCGTTTTACGACCACACCTACGGCAACTTCACGGGCGTCTACATCTACTTTGAGGGCGGCGACGTGAGCAGGGCCAACGACACAGCGTCACTGCAGAGCCCTCTACTTCCGGCTCAGACTGGGGCTGTGTTCAGCTTTTTCTACCACATGAAAGGATACCAGATGGACACTCTTAGGGTCAGGCTTGTGACCTATGACTTTTTCGGAAGGGAAACAAGTGAAAAGATTTTATTTCAGAAATCTGGCAAAGAGCAAACGGCGTGGGCCGAGGCTAGGATCGACGTGGACGAGACGGAGAGCTTCCGGCTGTTCGTTGAAGCGCTCTTGTTGCACGACTTTGGCGACTACACGGACATGGCGGTGGACGACTTCCGGTTCTTCCGCACATGCAAAAGTAACCCGTGCGGGACAGACCAGACGTGTAATGACCGTCAGTTCGGCTTTGCGTGCGCTTACAACTGTACCACCGCACCGTGCCTGAACGGGGGGATGTGCGGAGCTGAGGGAGAAAGCTACACATGTAGGTGTGCACCGGGCTACACAGGCCCTAACTGCGAGACAGACATAGATGACTGTCGACTGTTGCCGTGCCAGAACAACGCCGTGTGCATCGATCTCGTCAACTCTTACTTCTGCGCATGTGCTGACGGCTTCACCGGAACTACCTGTGAGATACAGCTGGAGACTCCGGAATGTCACGGTTTAGTTGTTGACCTGCACGCCACTCCCAAGACTCTGACTCCGCCAATCACAGCTGAGCTGAATATCACGTGCTCTTTGAGATTGGCGACGTCAAATGAAAAACGCGTTTGCGAGGACGTCATCAGTTTCGATTTTGGGGGCGTGGCGTCTGTTGCTCTTACCCGGAAAGGTTCCAGAGATGTGATCGAAGAAACTGTGTCCGTCATGTCGTTTTTTGAAAACGCCACCGCCAAAACTGACCACGGTATGCTGGAGGTGGAGGGCTGGCTCAGACATGTGATGACGTCACAGAGCCCCGCTCTAGCCTCGCTGGACAACAGGTGGTTTTACCCAACGGACGACCAGGCGGGAGACTACTCCTGCACTGTCGTCGCTATCGGCAGCTTGGGCCGACCTCTGACCTTTCAAGTCAGGCAGAAGATCAAAGTATCGATTCCTGCGAAACAGGAAGTTCGCAGATACGTTGCCAACCTGCACAACAGCAGCTGCCCTAAGTGAATTTTGATGGTTGATCCTCTAGACTCTAGATCTATTAATTTTGTCGCTTGTGTTTCTTGTACCCTAATTCTTTTATAATTTTTTTGGGTAAAATATCTAATTATTTTTGTCATTAAAAAAAAAAATTTCTTATACCGTTATTTTTTTTATATCAACAAATTGTAATACTTTTTTTGTAGTTGCAAAATTCCTCCTTCCTTACAATATTTTAAGAATTTCTGAACACAGCCGTTGTTACATTCAATGTCTAGCAGTTTCCCTCGATTGGGTTGTAATTTGCTGCTTTCAAAAGGATAAAAATTGAAAATTGAAAATAAAAATGTACCATGGACTATTCCATTGACGACAATTTAGCTGACGTCATCCTTTTTTGTGTTCACTGTCTGGCACCTCCGCTCCTCGATTACTCTTCTTTCTTTCACGCACTTTGCACTTTTCCCATCCTTGATTATATGGCTCCATCTTATCATGTTCGCTACCTCAGAATTATAAAGTTCTATTTGGCATTTTTGACCATTTTGAGTTACTAAGACCATGAGGTCCGAAACCAATGTTCTATCTGCTCTTTCAAAATCGCAAGATTATTTGGAGTCGTTATCAAGATATTCAAAAAACTGCATTCGGAAAAGCGTGTTACTTGTAAAACAATTTTTTTTTAAATCAAATTTCTCAGTACTAGGTACTGAGCAGATAGAACTTTGTATATCCTATCTATCTATCTATCTATCTATCTATCTATCTATCTATCTATCTATCTATCTATCCATTTATTGATCAATCTAATCTAAAACATGTGAAATTTTGTCAAATATACTGAGAGATTTAAAACTTCCAAACCGTAGCTGGCGAGAAAGTGACAAGGACATCCATCTGACATCGTCAGTTTTAATTGTTAACAAATGACACTGTTTCCTATGTTCCCAGGCCACCATGCTCTCATCCATCCATACCAAAAATGGCACATACCGGTGTTACCCACAATTAATCCATCATACTATGATCCATGCCGAAACTAGTACATACTGGAATATACCCACAATTATTCCACCCAAGCCAAACTTCTTTCTTTGATATGTACCTTGATTCATACCATGATCCATACAATGATCCATACCATGATCCGTACCATGATCCATACCATGATCCATACAATAATCCATACCATGATCCAAACCATGATCCGTACTATGATCCGTACCATGATCCGTACCATAATCCGTACCACAACTTGTAGGTACTGGAGTTACCCACAACTAGTTCATCAAGACTGAGACGTGTTCCTCCACTGCCGTTTTTGTTTTAATTAGGGGTTTATGGCGGTCATATGACCTTATGCAGTTGCGAGCGCCGTAAAACCCTCTACAACGAAAAAAAAAAAATTTAGGGTTTTTTTTCGTTCTTGATTCTCTGACAGCCGTTTTGTTCTGGTTTTAATATTTTGTCCTAGAAAGATTAGATAAGTTAAGATACGATACGATAAGATAATACTTTATTGTCCCAGAGGAACATTTTTTGTTGTTGTACAGGGCCTTAAAAACACTTGCAGGTATACATTTTAAAATTTTGATTTTATTATACGAGTGGGGTTCAATAAGTCTTTGGTCTGGGCAGGAAGGAATCATGGTAAAGTAATGAAATTTCAACAGCCTTTAGACACTTTTTTTAAACACACCATACACATTTTCTGGAAAATCTGACCATAATAAGTAAGTAGTCAGCGTGTTCAATGAAACCATACACAAAAAGTTTGGGTTTTTCTTTGCTGAAGCTGTGCCATAGAGCCTGTTGAATATCGTTCAGTTTTCAAGTTTTTAAAATTGCCAGGAAAATCCCCTTGAGAATTTTTCAAAAAATGCTCCAAGTTTATGGTGACAAATGTCCTCGTTATAATACTTTGACATACTGGTTATTAAGAAAATTCAAATTGGTAGTACTTTTAGTGATCGTTTTACGGTGATCGCAACTGCATAAGGTCATATTCAAATTTGGATTCATGTCAGTGATAGTTGAAGAGCAAGAGCAAGAGCAATGGTGCCCATCCTTTGTGGTAACTGAAGAGAATGTATCCATGACGAGGAAACTGGTTTTACAAGACCGAAGTATAACTGTTAAACAGCTCTCAAGTGAAACGGGAATCAGTGCAGAGTCAATTGAAACGATTCCCCATGACCATCTTAACATGAATACGGGGCGGTTGCGCGGTGGGTACCCCGCCTTTTGACAAGTGAGCAAAATAAGCAAAGGTTTGAGTCTCGCAAAAGTCTCCTTCGAATTGAGTTTATTGACACACATTTCTTTAAAAACATAGTGACTTCGGATGAAACATGGATTTATCATTTAGATCAAGAACAAAAAATGTCTTCCATTAATAGAAAACCTCTTCTTCTCCCTCACCAAAGAAGGCAAAGGTAACACCGTCAAGTGGAAAGATCATGCTGTCGTGTTTCTGTGGTTGTCAAGGTATCATCATGACTGACTACCTGGAAAATGCAAAAACAGTCACAAGGGAGCACATTTCTACTATTCTGGTTTGCTGATAAAACTGCGTTCAGAGCTAGAGAAAAAAGGCGTGGAAAACTCCGTAATGTGGTCCTAATGCAGACAACGCCTATGCGCACAGGGCACAACAAACAGTCCAGACAGCAGAACAGTGCGGCTGTGAAATCCTGCCACACCCAGCTTTTTCACTAGGGCTGTACTCCGGTAGCAAATCCGCTCGTGCTCGCAAGCCCCTAGTTCAGGTCACAAGCCTCAAATCACTAGGTCAAATCATCAAATCAGATCACCAGCATGATAAGTTGAGTCTAGCGCAAACTGTAACCTCCTTGGTCTAGTCTAAACTTCAAGTTCACAGCAACTAGCAATCCGCGAAGCCACTCGTGTCAGGCCCCCTCATCATCCCCACCCTGCTTGCAATCCGCGAAGCCACTTACGTCAGAAAAAGAGAGAGGGGGAGAGTGAGAGATCCCGCCCACAGAGTCACGGCGCGGCGTGACGCTGTAGTTTACTCGATTAACCGAAGGCCTGCGCAAAGCAACGGACAGTCCTCAAGCCTCAAGTCTCAAATCCCGTCCGCAGCCACAAGCCCCACAATTCACACAGTACTGATTTGCGCTAGGCCTGGAGATTTGTCCCAGGACGAGCTCGAAACAGCTGACTTGTGCTGTCTCGATACACCGAGCGATCGGCACGCCGCAGTACCACTCGATGGCGCAGGACCGGTCGATGTGTTCAAACAGCAGCACTGCTCGCTGTGTGAACTTTGAACCGTGGAGGCAGGGAGAGGCTGGGCTTGTTTTGGTGCAAGGCGTAGAGAGCTGAAGTTGTTTTTAACTTCCCGCCGTTGATCTGCTAAGCGAATGGATAAGTGAGAGGGAGCGTGGTATTGTAGTAACAAAGACCTAGGTTTCTGGTAGTAATAAGAATAAGTTGACTTAGATTACCCTAAAATGGAAAACTCCAGGGGTCGTTGTGATTGGCTTTTGTATCGTAAGTATGTAACCTATTTTGTAGATGTGATACGCTCACAGTGACATAATACAGAACATTTAGGAGACGGGCTAGGCCTACTTCAACCCAATGTCAGGGCCAACCTGGGCTGAAAGGGAACAACGCCCCAGCAGAAAGACGGAGGTTCTCAGTAAAAATTTATCCCCATACGGGAATCAAACTGAGGTCTTTTGCGTGCGACGATGAAGCGCTTGGCTCGTGCACATTAAAAATAAACAGGCCTTAACATCGTAAGAATAGCCGATTCAATATTAATTTTTAAGTGCATTGAATAGAGCTTTTTTGTTTTTTACAACCGAACTATGACCCCCCCCCCCCGATCTTGCACTTTTGGTGCAAGCCTCTCAACGCAAATAACCAGAGAATCTTCTGTAATATGTACTGAGCCCACAGCCACGAGAGTTCGCGACGTCACGACACAGTACAGCAGGACTGTCCGCGAGTCACAACTCACTGGAAGTTCCCTCCGGTAGCAAGCGGGAGGCAAATCCAATCACAAGCCTGCTCGCAAGCCTCTGGCGCAAGCCGTCCGCTGCTTTGCAAGCCTTCGATTAACCGAGCAGAATCCAGCCCTATTATTCACCAGACCTAGCCCCTCCAGACTTGTTTTTTGTTTGATGGGTCGTTTATAATGCTGATTATCTTTTTCATACTTGTGATTTTAAACATTTCATAAATTCTACTCAAATGATATCCAGAGATCTTGCTGGCTTTCTTAATGTTTCTGTCAATTTTTTCTTAATCTTTCACACTACAAATCCCAGCCCTGCAGCAAATACAAAATAGTAACACGCTACAGAAAGAAACGTAACCCGTTGATTCTACCCCCCTCCCCTCGCACTGTTGTTCTGACAGTATCTCCTGCTTGTGTGGACTGTTATTTCGAGCACCCGCTGTTTCGTGCGTGGTGTTTTTCGGCTTGACAAATGAAGTAATCATGTCACTGTGGATTGTTTTCGCTTCCATCAACACAATTTAGATGTTTAGGAAGCGGGATGTTTCGTCCCTGCCTGCTGGGCTGGATTGATTTAAATCAATTAATTTTTAAAAAATTATATCAATTGTTAAAAAAAATAAAAATCAGTGATTTAAATAACTTTATATATATATATATATATCAATATATATATATATATCAGTTTTTACATATTTAAACATTCAGAATGCCTTTCTTTGGTTTTAAAAAACAAATATAAGGTTTAGTAGACTAATCTAACCATGTTTAAAAGTCTGCGTTTTCCCCCGTCACTGTAAATTAATACAGTATTCAATTTACATTTTTTCATCATGGAAATTAGCATTTTCTTTTTTTTATAGAAAAATACAAAGCACACACACACACACACACACACACACACACACACACACACACACACACACACACACACACACACACACACACACACACACAGACTAAGGAAACGTCTAGATTTAATAACTTTAAACTTGATAATTTATTGAATGTCAGATCAAATAAATTGTGACTGAAGAGAATAAAAACATTAACAAATAAATCACAAAAAATGTAAGAATTTTTTTTATAGATATTATTGCAAGGAACAAAATGGCAACTGAAGGAATTTTGAAAGTTAATCACTTTCATACAATATTAACAGTATTACAATAACCAACAATTTAGATCGTGTTGAAATCACCCATTGAGTTGTTTGGGGTTGAAGGTTTTGAAAAGAAACACAAGTTTTGAGGCCTTTTCATTCCCTTAACGATTTCTCAGCTTTGATTGCACAAAATACAAAAGATGAAAATATCCTCTCTACACCTGCTAATGATGCCTTAACTGTCAAAGGTGACTCAATGAAAGAAAAGATTGATTATCTAAGAA